CTGTTGCCACTGAGAGGCAGCTGTGGCCTGCTTTACACGAGACTGTGGTGGGGAGAGAGGGCAGGGTTGGAGGCAGAGGAGCAGAGTGGCCTCCAACTCGAGGCCAAATCCCTTTCTCAAGGAGCTGCCAAGGGCAGGGGGAGGGCTCCTGCAGGACCTCCTCTTTCTGAGATAGTCTCCCCACCTGACAGGCCCACCTCTCATTTTTTCCCTTGTCCTTCTCTCCACGTTCCTCTCTTTTCTTTTCTTCCGTTTCCAAAGATCTGGTGGTCTGTTCTCCTGAAGCTGGGGTACCTGGAGGCTGCAGCTGGTAGGGTTTCTCTCCCTTACACACGCACACACACGCGCACACACACACACACACACACACACACACACACACGCACACACACAGTGATTTCCTGACTGACATCTGGCTGCCCCTACTTGGAAGTGCTTCCTGCACAGGGACTGGGTCCTCTGCACTGGGAGGCGGAAGGTTTAGGGTGGCTGGGTGCCCCCTTTGCCATTCAGAGCAAACAGTGAGGCAGTGTCCTGTGGCCACAGGAGCAAGAGCAGAATGCTGGGACTGAGGAGGCAGCCTCTCCCTGGTTCTCAGCCTCATCTTAAAAATGGGAGGTTGATCTCATGGAGCTTCAAGTCAGAAGGGATCTTCGATGTCATTCAGTCTAGGGTCTGCCCTGTGTGGGAGCCTCTGCCCCAGCTGTCCTGGGTGGCAGTCACACAGCTCCTACTAGAAGCTCTGCAGGAGCCCTGCACCTTACCTTCTAGGGGCTCGTTGCTCATTGGAGGGTAACAGCCTTAGAACCTGTTCTCCCTTATCCTCCATTCTGTAATTATTTATTAAAGGCTCACTCTGGCCAGTGTGCCTCCCAGGGCTGCTGGTTGGTGAAAGCGATGCATCTTCAACTGATTAACCTCGGAGGCCCCAGCCCCACCAGCGGGTGCTTCAACAGGGCAGCTGTAACTGCTTTGTGCCCGTGACTGTGCCAAGCTTCAGCTTCCCCACCACCTTAATGAGGCGGCATACTTGTCCCCATCTTACACGGAGGAGGCTGAGGCTCAGGGGTTGAGGGGCCACAGCCCTCAGCTTGGAAGTTCTGGAGCAGGCACAAGCCCAGGTGGGCTCTCTGCTTCCAGCCTGAGCTCTCAGGCTCTGTGCCTTTTTCTGAGAGATACCTGATCTCAGTCACCCTGTCTGTAAAATGGAAATAATTCCACTTGCCTGTTGGATGTATTGGAAGGTTTAAGAAAGATAATGCATAGAGAACACTTAATTCTTAGTCGCTGGCATCTAGTTCTAGCTTGTTCAATGGTGGCCAACACTCTTATAATGGACTCTGCCCCTGCATGTCCCCAGCAAGGCTACTGAACCTTCTCTGCTCCTTTTTCTTTTCTTTTTTTTTTTTTTTTGAGACGGAGTTTCACTCTTGTTACCCAGGCTGGAGTGCAATGGCGCGATCTCGGCTCACCGCAACCTCCGCCTCCCAGGTTCAGGCAATTCTCCTGCCTCAGCCTCCTGAGTAGCCGGGATTACAGGCACGTGCCACCATGCCCAGCTGATTTTTTGTATTTTTAGTAGAGACTGGGTTTCACCATGTTGACCAGGATGGTCTCGATCTCTTGACCTCATGATCCGCCCGCCTCGGCCTCCCAAAGTGCTGGGATTACAGGCGTGAGCCACGGCGCCTGGCCTCTCTGCTCCTTTTTCTTTGGAGCATGGAGTTAGAGTGCCTGTTCCCCATAAGGGGTGCTTTGGCCAGAGTGAGGTCCGTGGTGGAGAGAGGCGCACAGGATCTGTGGTAGTCTAGTGGCTAGCCTGGCAGGCTGGCATCAGGCTTTAAATAGCTCCACATCACTCCTCCCAGGCCAGCTTCCCACACATGGGTAATTAAGCTCACAACATTTAGTGTAAGCAAATAATAACAAGGGCATTATCTCCCTTTAGTCTGTGTTTTTCCTTGCCTATCATATAGTAATTAAAATAATGAATGCCTTGTAAAACAATAGGTAAGAGGGCTGGTGAAATAGCATTATCTGCCACATACCTCTTGTGCTGTGAATTTCTGATGCAGTTAACCACTGTGACTGGAGGGCCCCCCTGCCTCCCAGCCTTTTTCACGTTGATTTCTCCTCTCCAGGGTCTACCAAGGGGCTGTGGAACCTGGGTCCCCAGGACTGAGGAGCAGGGAGCTAGCCTTCTAGGCCCCCCCATGGTGGCCCAGGACCAGTTCAGAAACATTCTGGGAGGCTTGACTCAGAAGGAAACAGTAGAGCCTCAGATTTAAGGACCATCTCCCTGCCCTCTTCTTTTCCCCACCCCTCCACCGGTGTCCAGTTTTGAAAGAAGCAAATGGTTCTGTCCTTGGAGAACTGGGATTGAAGATCCATGTCCCATTTCAGCAATCACCGAGCCATACCAGGGTGGTCAGGAGCTGTGGTCCCCAAAGTGAGCTCCCAAGTCCGGCAGCATGAGCATTGCCTGACAACTGGGTGCAAATGTAGGTTCTGGGAGGGGCCCGGCACACTGTTTCAACAAGCCCCCGGCGTGCTTACGATGCCCGCTCATTTGTGAGCACCACTGCTTTATGGTGCCAGTGGCACGGGAAGCAGCAAGGGGTGCTGGGATGAGCTCTGGAACCTGTATTTTGTAGTGTTGGGCACTGTTTAATCCTGACAATGCCTGAGGGGCTGGGAGTACTGTCCTCATCTTATGAAAGAGGTCCCACAGGGGTGGGAGAGCTAGATTTCCCCCTGAATCTATGCATTTAGTTACCATGGCTGCCTCTGTATCAGGGCCTCCCCCTCCTCCTAAATACCCTCCTGTTCCGAGTCTCACAGGGCAGAGACTCAGGGACCAGGGCAAGACCTAACAGGTCCTATCTGAGACTGGCCTAGGGGGCTTGGGCAACAGGTCCCACACATGTCAGCAGGCAGCCCCTGTGGCCTCCCCCTCCCAGGCCTCCTCTTGGATCATTCTAGCTCTGTGGGGCTTTACACACTTGGAAATAAAATATTACCATCCAGGGCTGCAGATGCGGCTTCTCTCTTCCCCAGCTTCCCTGAGCCACAGGCAGCCAGAGGAAGAGAAGTGGAAATCGAGAGCAGCTTCCTGTCTGCCATGGCCAAGTCCCTAAGAGGATGACTCACCAGTGTGCCCTCACCACCTGCCTCCCACGTGCCTGGCCTCCCTATGCCTCGCCCCCATGTCACTGCAGACAAAGCTTTTCACCACCGTCTCTGGTTCTTCCCCTTACTCCAGATCACAATGATTCCCCAGTGTGGCTTTGCCTTGGGAATTAATTCCAGAGTTTTAAATGATGAGCTAAATTTGCTGGTATCTTTTTAAACATCTTCATTTGCAGTAATAATTGCAGTGGGTATTTGCGTTGGGGTCCAGTTAAATGTACATTTTTATATAAATAATGAATAAGCTTTTAGTATAAGTATGTTCCAGGTAGTATTTGGAGAATATACTTGTACTAAAAAGTTATTTGTTATTTATCTGAAATTTAAATTTTATTGGGTATCCTGCATTTGATCTGGCAACACTAAACCCAGCCTCTGTGGCCAATGAGGGGCCGATACTCACAGCCCTTTCTAGCCATTCATTCATGTTTATTGAGCCAACTCTGTGCCAGGCACTCTGTTAGGCACCAAGGCTGCAGCAGTGGGGGAGGCAGACGTAAGTGAAAGAAATAAATGATTTATTAAGTATATTAGAGGTTTTAAGTGCTATGGAGAAAAACAAAGCAGAAGAGTGCTGTTGGAAAGAAAGTGTTGCAAATTTAAACAGGTAGCCAGGGAAGACTTTATCAAGCAAAGACAAGGGAGCAGGCCATAAGTGTCTGTGGGAGAAGAGTATTCTAGGCAGAAAACTCACTGTGTGCAAAAGTCTACAATTTAGACCCCTATGTAGGGCTCAGTTATCTAATGAGACCAGCCTTGTTTCCTCAAGCACATTTTAAGCCGCAAGGGGAATTTATTGTCTTCTGTAATTGAAAGGGTATGGTTTGGATTTCAGGCACAGCTGGATCCAGGTGTTCAAATGATGACATCAGTATTCTATCACTTTTACTTTTCTCTGCGGTGATTTCATTCTCAGGGAAGAATGACTTTTTCTATTCTTTCCTGCAAATATTTTACGCTTGAGTCTTATTGGGTTGGTGTGGATCGTGTGACTATTCATCGCCCAATTGCTGTTGGCAGGGGGTAGAAGGGACTGATTGATTAGTTTCCACTGTTGGAGCCAATGTGAGGCCATCTTTTCCATTTGAACCACATAGACTGAGATGAAGAGATAATAATTTTCTTAAAGGAAACTGGGGGTGCTGCTGTGAGAAGGGGCATAGAGGCTGGGCAGGCAAAGCCCATGGCATCCCTCCCACACTTTCCTCCTCCCTCCTCAGCATGCCCTAATCTTAGACTGGTTGCGTTTTCTTCTGCTTTGGTGGTTTTTTTTTTTCTTTAAAATGGGAGGAGACCAACACTTTTGGAGGCCGAGGTGGGCGGATCACTCGAGGTCAGGAGTTCGAGACCAGCCTGGCCAACATGGTGAAACCCCATCTCTACTAAATTAGCTGAGCATGGTGGTGCACACTTGTAATCCCAGCTACCTGGGAGGCTGAGGCATGAGAATTGCTTGCATCTGGGGAGTAGAGGTTGCAGAGCTGAGATTGCACCACTGTACTCCAGCCTGGGTGACAGATTGAGACTTCATCTCAAAAAATAAAATAAAATAAAAAATAAGAGAAAAATACCATCCTTCTTACTTTCAATATGATATTTTAAGAGGAAATAAAGAAAATATTCTTTTTTAAATAAAGATTTTTTTTTTTAAATCAAAGGCATGATTTAGCCCTTCTGTTTTACTCCTGTACTTTTAAGCCAGTTTCTACCTGACCTGGGGACCCCTTCGGGCTCTGGTTCTTTATGGGTAGGGTATGTTATTTAAATCCAGTGGTTCCCTATATCTCAACTCTTGCTTTTTCTGTTGCCAGGAGGCCCAGAAGATTAACAATGGCTCAAGCCAGGCGGATGGCACTCTCAAACCAGTGGATGAAAAAGAGGAGGCAGTGGCCGCCGAGGTCGGCTGGATGACCTCTGTGAAGGACTGGGCGGGGGTGATGATATCCGCCCAGACACTGACTGGCAGAGTCCTGGTGAGTCTCCACCCCCTTCTCACACCAGGAGGCCTTGCTGTGTGGGCCAAGATGGCTTTGCTTATGAGACGTGATGTGCCCCAGGGTCTTCTGCAGGAGGCTGGCTATTGGGAGGTGGGGGTGAGCAGCAAGTGCTCCCACGTGGTCATCAAGGAGAGGCTCCGTTCTTTGTGTACAGTGGTTTGTGGAGGGATTTTCAGGGAGTGGGGTTTGCAGTAGAGAGGGGTTGTTGGGAGGAGGTGGCACGTTTCCTCTGCTAATAAGTGCGCATGAACGCACACACACACGCACAAGTGCACGCACACTCATACCCTCCCTCATCTTGGAGAGGAGAAGAGGGTCAAGGAAACATACCAGAGACTTATGGAAGGGCCACAAATGATGGGATCCTGGGGAATGCTGAGAGAGAGAGAGAGAGAGAGAGAGAGAGAGAGAGAGTGCGTGCGCGTGTGCGCGCACATGTGTGTGTGTGGTGGCCTTCAGGGGATGTTCTCGTTGTCTTCTCTTAGCCTGTAGGGACCTCTGCTTGGAGCAGTTTCCAGATTTTCTGCAGTGAGCTGGACCCTGTGCATGGCAAAAATCAGTCATGCTGATGGTGGATACATCAGCAGCCCACCTGAGGCTGCCTGGCCCGCGTGCCTGAAGCTCCCTTGTGTGCCCTTTTCTGGTGAGGTTGTCTCCCAGGCCCACCTGCAGCCAGGGCTGATCCTGCCCCTTCTCTGTGCATTTCCAGCATCTCTCTGATCTGCTTATATGAAACTTGGCTTCACTGGCTGGCCTCATGAGCCCTTGGTTTTTGTCAAGGATCATTAGTGGGACAGGCCTGTGGTGACCAACAATCACAGTTTGCCTGGGACTGAGGGGTACATGGGACATGAGTCTTTCAGTGTAAAAGCTGGGAAGGCCCTGGGCAAACAGGGATGAATTGGTCACCATAGCCAGGTCCATACTCAGGGAAAGCCCTGCCCTATTGCTTTCTTGGGTCTGCTCTAGGTCAGGAGTTTCCCAAAGAAGGATGTTGCATGCGGAGTGATTTCTCATTGTAATTCTGGAAGCTGTTTTGTTTGGGCCACCTGTCCTGGCTTGAAGCTAGGGCTCAGTCAAGAGTCATTTGGCTCATAGATGGAAGGAGTAGGGCCTGTGTGGCCCTATCCTAAGGCCTTTGTGGCTCAAAGACCAGGCAGGGAAACTGGGAAACAGTCATTATCTGAGTTTCACAGCAGAAACTCAGTGAGGAGGTGATTGTAGATGGAGGAAGGTGGCGAGAGTTTCACTTCTCAGAATCCTTCTTGGAAAGAACTCAGTGTTATGTCTGGGATCGATATCACACACACTTCTTGAGGGAAGGACTGAGAAAGTATTCAAAGGTGCCGGCCATACAGCCTTCAAGAAGGACAGGGTCTGCTCACCGAGGGATCTGTCTTGAGCTGTGTGCTGAAGGGACTGGATATGAAACTGTGGCTGATGTCAACTGATACCAAAATGGAAAGAGGGAACATTTAAAGCTGGAGTTTTGGAGGAGGAGAGAGAAACTGATGAGGTCAGCAGCTGCTTGGAGGAAGGCACAGGAGGGAGACAATCCAGTCTGGTGTGACCCAGGAGGACTGTGTGTAGTGGGGACTTGGAAGTGCCTTGCTCTTGGCTGTGCTATGTAACAGCCCTTCTGTATCTCTTCCTGCCTCTTCAGTGAAGTCTCCATTGCTCTTTCATGCTTAAAGAAGAGCAGATTCTGCATTGGAAACTTAGAGGTTCAATTCTGGGTCTGGGTATTCATGGGGACACAATGGATGTGTTCTACATGTATGGTGGTGATAGTGAATTGGGGAGCAGGAGGCAGTTTGCTTGCACAAATGTGACACTTGTTCCTTCCATGTGGTCATTATAGACAGGTCTAATTTTCTTCATCAGCGTTGCCAAGAGTTACTAAACACGAATTCTTGGCCAAGTGTATTCGTTTTTTCAGCTCTGTGGAAAACAAGGAGGGATCCTGATTCTGTTGTGCTATGTAGGGAAGTTATTGAAGGAATATATGGACGACAGGTGCTATGAGTACAAACATGGTGTGCACGTGTGTGGGTGTGAGGAGGGGCTGTGGGGGAAAGCAGGGCTGATCAGGAAAGCCTTCATAGGGAGGAAAGCCTTTGAACTAAAGCTCCCATTTCAAGATGAACTGAGCATGTGCTTTATGGCGGGAAGATATCAAAAGTAAAAACACATCCAAGCCTAAACACAAGAAAATGACTGCTAGGTGGGCCAGAATCTGTGAAGAATACCTAATAAGACAGAATGCTTTTGCAGTGAGCTTTGTAGTGTGAGTCAGGATCTTGAGAGTCAAAGGAGAGGAAAGCCTTCAAAGTGAGGAGCAAGAAAAGCAGAGAAGGAGCCTGGTATCCTGGGGAATGGGGAGTGCAGACCCCAAAGTCTAGGGGAGTGTCCTGGAGACAGCCTGGTGGGGCTTTAAAGGCCAAGCTAAAGAGTTTTTGGAGTTCGTAGAACAAGGAGATTTTGAGGCAGGGGGTGTTGTACAGAGAGAGCTAGGGGACAACTGGAGACTGAATGGGTGAAGCTGGAGCTTGGAGGCTATAGGACAAGTTAGGGCAGTGAGTTGCTGCCTTAGTGATGGCTTGGGAGCAGATTCCTGCAGTAGTCCTGGTGAGGCACAGTCTGCAGTGGCACTAAACGGAAGATGCAGATGGTAGATGTGGGTAATATCGTGGAAGCAGAACTCATTGGGCCAAGCACACCCAGCGGCCACCTTGATCCTCTCCTGGCAATCACACTGTTGAAAGCCTCTTGGGAGCCAGTCACTGTGGTAGGCCTTATATGTTAAGATCAATTTGAAGGGCAGAGACAATGTCATATTTCTTCCATATCTCCTTACTGCTGTTGTGTTGTATGGGTTCATTAGAAGAAAACAAGCCAATCTTATCAGTGAATTCATCTCTGTTTTATAGTTGAGAAAAATCAAGACATAGCAAGGGCAATGAGTTGTCTAGAAACATTCAGCTTTGAGTGACAGAGCCAGCTCCCTGTCTCCCTGGAGTTCCTTTTGTGTCATTACTTCCCAGTCGAAGATAATGCCTTTTCTTTTCTAAGCCCCTGCGACCTGTCGCTTTGTCTGTGACATTTTGACATTACCATCTTCTAGCCACTTTGGTCCTGAGGATGCTTGGCTGACTTGTTTAACATGTGCATGCTGAAGCATGGTCCACGCAGGGCTCTTTGCCTGAGCCTGCCCAAGGTGCCAGCTGCTCTCTGAAGGTCTCCTTGGAGAAAACCCTGCCAAGGCTGCTGGGACCACCCAGAGCAAAGTGGGACCCACTGCAGACAGCAGGCATCTCAGAGCTCTAGGAGGTATCCTGAGAACAGGCCTGTCCGTGGGGAGCAGGCAGGCCTCTGCACTGAGCAAAGAACAGATTTCACAATGAAGTCCTGGTGTGCAAGAGAAAGCAGCTCGGCCTGTTCAGAACCCAAAGCTGTGTTTGTCTCGAGCCGTCCCAATGTTTATCCCTGCAACAGGGGGACCAAAGCAAGACCAGATACCTGGCTATTCAGTTTCCCTTTCCATTTTTTAATTTGTTTTCCTTGACGCATGCTCAGGAGCTTGGCCTCCACATCTGGGCCTCTATCTCACCTGCCCAGTTGTCACAGGTGAGAATCTCAAAGCTGGGACATCATGAATAAGGTCCAGCTGGGGAAAGATTTGCCAAGACGATCTCAGAATATCTGTAGGATCTCTCAGACCAGCACATCTGTTATTCACTAAGTGCTTATTTCTCGCCTGTACCTTACACTGTTCAAGGTACTGAGCATAACTCAGTGAGCAACAGAGCTCCAGAGTATGAATTATTTAGATTGATAAACTAGATATAAGGGTGCAGAGCTCAATTTAAGAAATTGATAATCCCATTCACTGGTGCTTTTTATAATCAATGCCTGGAGCCCGATCACCCACATGATAAAAATTCCTTGACCCCTTGGCCCCAGGTCTCAGAATAGCCTGTCTTTGCCTCCTCTCTCACCCTGGCACCCAGGCTAAACTGCCCAAAAACAGTAGGAAGGACCAAGACTTCTCTTGGATCATGTGGCGGAGGGATTCTACATTAAAGTGAATGCCAGGCTGTCAAGGGTACTGCTTCCTTTAAATTTTTCTTGATAAACAAATGTTTCTCTTCTGATTATGAACATAATATATGTTTGCTTTTTTAAAAATTTTGAAACATACTGGAAGAAGCGCTGATAAATTCCACTTTGGGATTTGGAGTTGGCTCCTGCAGAGGGAAATTTGGAAATAGTAGTCAATATCATCAGGATTTCTCTCAACCATTTGGGTGTCGTCGAGGACTTTGTTCACTGCATCTCATGTTACCTGCTTTATGCACAGACTCATGGGATAAATAGTTTTTTTGGGTGGCTGCTCAGAGCCAAGTTGGTGCTTATGGAAAATACAGAGCGTCTCAGGTTTGCGCTCTGTGTCTTTGCACGCTTCCCTGACTTGTCTTCGTCATCTTTCATTTTCCCTTTGCCCTACTTTGCTTACTCCTACTTGAAATTTACATGTATGCAGTTGTGTGCTCCATACATTTTTGTCAGGTAAATTAAATCCTTTTAAGAATAAGGTGGTTTCTAAATAAAGAGGGCAAGAAACATGTGAAGTAGGGTTTAGTATAGTTTCATTGTACTGTATAGAATCATAAGCCAAAATCAATAGCGATAGTCAAGTTCAGGGTCAGTAAGTTTTTCTGTAAAAGGCCAAATAGTAAACATTCTAGGCTTATAGGCCATGTGGGCCCCACTGCTCAACTCTGCCACAGTAGTTTGAAAGCAGCCACTAACAGCCTTGACGTGACTTTGTTCCAATAAAACTTTCTTTATAGAATGGGGGGAAATATTTGCAAACAATGAATTCAACAGGGGCCTGATATCCAGAATTCACAAGGAACTTAACAACAAAAATCACAACCTCATTTAAAAGTGGGCAAAAGATATGAATAGTCATT